TTTGTGCTGAAGGAAAAGTTTCAGTTGTCTAAAGCCATAGTTGCGTCTCGAGTTTCTTCATCCGGTGCTGTTGCATCGAGCAGCAGCAACGGCATCAGCACCCCAGCAACCCCCTCACCCAAGCCAGGAGGAGTTTCCTTCTGCCTCCCCGCTGTGCATGCGGAGAATACGCCTCAAGGTTCCTCTGCTGACTGCAACAGGAAACCCAAAACGGTGTATCTCTGCACTAAAGACTCAAAAACAAATGAGGAAACAACAAAGCAACGCAGCAGCGGCTCGTCAGCGGACGAGGAGGGTACTGGCTCGCAGCCGACTGCAGATGTTTCCCTTGAGGGACCTCAGCAGAGTGAAATTCAGCTCTCATCAGCAAATGAAACAGCTCAAGAGAAACGTATTACTGCTGCTGGGATGAAGGAGGCCCCCATGCAGCCTGCAGCAAGCGTTGCAGATCTACATACGAGTCAATCCACTGGTGATGAGGTTTCGCGCAGAGTGCGTCACCAGCAACCACCAACGGCATCTGAAGTGAATCCTGTAGCACTTAAAACAAATGAAACCGAACCAGAGGTATTAGAAACAGGAGTGGCTCCTGTAGATACCACTGCTGAGGACAGTGGGGGCTTGCAAGGGCACAGTGAAACACGGCCAGCTGGGAGTTCCAAGGCTCTGCTCGCAGACGCAGCGGCCTACCTCGGGTCAAATGGCTGGCGACTAAACAGAAACTGCCGGCTGAAACCCGCGGGAAACGCAGACGGCTCAGCCTCAACGCGTGTTCCTGGCCCCGTCGCCTCCGCCTCCACAGATAACGAGCCGCAGAGCCTCTCAGAGCAACAGAGCAAGGAGAGGAGCTCGGATGATGGGGAAGACGTAGAGGAGAGATGCGCTGAAATTCCCGTTTCTGAGGAAAGGGAGAATGGGGTGAAGGAAGAAGAAAACGGGATTTCCGGCATCCAGCCCATAGACGCGGGCGATACGCAGAGTGGGAGCAAGGTGGGTCTCGCGTCTCAGCAGCGGTTAAGGATTAGCCAGGTAGCTGTTTCTCCTTTTGAACCACCAGGCGGCAAGCAGCAATCATGCGGTTCTCTTCTCTGCAAACTCTGTCTCTGCATCTGCAGTTCCAGGCGGAGCTCTTTTTCAAGGCGTTGCTGGTACGACCTTTCGGTAGAATATTACCGAACATCTTTTCCTGCATCCAGCAATACGAGAATCAGAAGTTTTTTCTCCTTTTACTCTGAAGGTATACTCTGAAAGCTGTCTAGTGGAGAGTTGCAACTTTCTCTGCAGGTGCAAACACAGGCTATGATTGACGCGGAGGCGGAAACTTCTGATGTTTTAGAGATGCAAGACGGTGAGCAGTGAAAGCGCTTATTCAAGTTTCGTTTCACGCAGTGAAAACAATGTTTGATCTCTACCCGGATCGGGCGTTTTGAGATGGGAGGGTTTCGGCAATTCATGTTTCTTCTGAAACCCGCAACACCGGGAGCAGAGAAACCGCGGGAATGTCGAGTGTTTCGCGCTGGTTCTCATCTGAAATTCCCAAGTTTGTAGCAAATTCTTTGGAGGTGTTCAGCTGCTCTGGTTTGCTGCTGTTGCTTGAATCGCAGAACTGTCTTCGAAGATTGACATTCTGCAAAGCGCCTTCGAAGAGGTAACTGCAGCGAACAACCATCAACGAACAACCATCACTCCACTCTACTTCCAGTGACTCCGAGACTCTGAAAAAACAGCCAATGTATTCAGTGTGATCTATCCTGGCTTTCGTTGCTCAGATTTGCCAGGAACTAGATGCCGTCAGAAAGGAAAACAGAGCGCTCGCGCAGTAAGACCCTGTTTTGTATATAGGAAATAACGATATCCAGCTCTCACTAGGCAGCAGAAAGCACATAGAGCCTTGTTTATTTTCGCTTAATGACCGTTTAGCCGTACTGTGGGTAAGCAGCCTGGCTATGCCAGAGTGACACCCGGGTCAATGCGCTGATTTCCACAATTATGTTCTGTTCACTGTGATAGCTCTTTACTTGAGCAAGGACCTGCTGCTGCGCTTCAGCACAGGGCAAGTGCTACTCTCCACAATATTGGCGCCAACTAGTCTTATGTGGTGCTGTTCAGAAGGGCTTTAGCGAATGGTTCGCATGCGGCCTGTGGCGATGAAGAGTCCACTGAATCTAGGGAATCTTCTGGAAGTGGTACGTGGAGCTCCTGGCAATGTGCTCTTCAGATTATAGTTATGCAAGCAAAACATGTACGCAGCGCTTCATGGGGCAGGAAGCAGTGCTACCAATAAAACAAAAGTGTTTTGGGGCATGTGTATGGAGAAATTAGATGGTGTGACTGTGTGCATGTTTCAGCAGTTAACGGCAAAGTATGCAAATCAAACCGGCTTTCCGAGGCAAACTCCCCCTCTAACCAGACGTCCGAAGTAAGTTTGTGTT